GAGTTGGGTTGGGATGTTCTTCCCCCACCCACCATATTCTCCAGATATGGCACCATCAAATTACCATCTTTTTTGTTCGTTGTAATGCCATCTTAATGGGAAAACGTATGCAAATGTTTGAAATTTAAAATTATACCATTAGAATCAGTCATACAAGGGATGTTTAACACTTAAGTATTTGGTTTAACAGTAGTTGAAGTTGGATCTCTCCTATTAACTTTAGAATTACATGTGGGGTTCATATGGACCTCATTGGCTTTTTAAATGCATCTTTTTAACATTATGCACCAAGTTACTTTAGGAGGTGTGCAGCTGTGTTTTTCATTGGTTACACAGCCCCTGATAACATATTAGTAACATAAAAAAATTTAATATGATCAGTATCATCATGTTACTTAAGGGTCAATTACACAAAATCTCCACTTAAAATGCTAGTTATGTATTATCACATTTAAAATTTGGTAAACTGGAGACTTGTAGGTACATGTCATCTTTAGTGTTGGTATTTTTTATTAATTTTTCTATTTCAGAACACATTTGACAGAGAGAAAACTGGACAATCGGATGACTTGCAACAAAATGAAATTATTTCTAAGTTCAGTGATAGTGTTGATGATAATGGTCTAAATAGCTGGAAGGATGATGTTATGAATGAGAAAAATGAAAATGATGTGCAAAAGATCAACTCTGGATTAGAAGGTACATCTGGTAAGTATAAATTTCTTTAAAAAAAAATACAAAATTAATTGTAGGTGGTTAGAAGAAACATTTTCTTTTAGTCAAGTTTCAGTAATACTTCAAAATATTTACTGGGCTTTCTCTCTGTGGAAGCTGTCCATGACCTGATTTGGGGTGAGATCTAGTCCTTCATGCGGCCCAAGGGTATCTCTCCAGGAGGTGTTGATTTGAATTTTCATTCTGAAATGAGATATTCTGGGGAGAATTTAGACTCCCTGCTTCCTACCCTTCTTTCACTAGAGCTGAGGACTCATCTGATCAGCCATCTTTTGCCCCTTTTTCTGCAGTTAGTTACACGTGTTCGTCAAGTTTTGGAGATGCTTTTGAGTCTACCCCTGCTTTGTTGTCCAATTGTTCTCAAGGGGATTATTTAGTTTTTCTTCCTCCTGATATTGCTGTGCATGAAGATAAGTTTGCAACACAATTACATGATGGTGTCATTATGCCCCCCTTCGTTTATCTGAACAACGTGCTGTGGTGTATCATCGTCATGATGATATATATTTGAACACTCAAAGGTTGGATCTATGGGGTGACAGGTTTGAACCTGTTATCTCTCTTAAAAGGTCGCAGTTTTCGCTGATTCATTTGACTCTTCCTGCTGTTTTAAGATACTTATCTTCCCTTCAACTTTTGTCTGAAGTAAATCACTAATTGCCTCAACAACTTGATGAGGAACTGGGCCATTTACTGGTCACTATTATGACATGTTTATCCTCTTTAGGACTTGCCTTAGTGTCATGGTTGGTCTGTTGCTGAGACTTCTTGAGTTGTGATGCATTTTTGGAGGATATTCACTTACCTTCTTTTGCCCTTCAAGATGTATGGGAAGCACTTTTTCTTCGGTCTTATTTACTTGCTGGAATTCCAGAATCTTTAGAAGCCAGAGTTGATACAGCACATTTGCAGTCTTCTTTATTGTCTTTAGCTGCTCGACCCTATTCTACTTCCACTTGTACTTCTGCATGTTCATCCCCTCATGTCTCAAAGCCCCCTCCTTCCACTCCTCATTCCATTGGTTCTCTTAATCATTTCTGTCTTTATTCTCCGGAGACACTTTATGGGCTGGTATGTGGACTTCTCCTGGCACGTTCATATCTCATTACCTTCACGATCTGGCATTTTCCTCTTTGAAGATACTTCATCTTTCCCCTGTGGCTGTGTTGACTACATCTACTAGATTTTAACAGGGTGGTGAGTAACATGTTATCTGACTTACAGTTATTGTTCCTTTCTATTTTGGGGTCCCTATTGATTTTTTCTTGGATCCCACTCAGTGGCAAGTGTTCTCCAGTTGGGTATGCTTGTATTTAAATTCTGCACTAGCAACCTTTATATCAGTTCCTGGATGCAATGGGCTCTGTTGAGATGAGGTGTTCCATAAGACCATCTGGATGCAATTCTGGATGGTGATATTATATTACAATATTTCTAATGGACCTCTACTTATGGACTATCATGAGTAAAGCTAAAGGGGATTTTGCCAATCCCTGCTAATCTTAGAGCTGAATCAGTCAAGATCAGTTTGCTTTTAAAAATTAGGGAATGTGGTTCACCTGTTGCAATGTTTCTGGAGACCTGTTCTTCAGGACTTCCCAATGCTTATGTTCCCCCCTTACTTCTACTAGTGAAGCTCGGTAGTCCTTTCCACACCCAGTTCCCAGTCACTGGGGTGGTGAACAGAGTGTTGAGTTTTCTCCACTCTCGGAGAAGAGGGCAAAGTTGGGGACCCTCTTAAGATATGTTCTTTGAATTATTAATCAATATGAGATTTGTGATGGTTTCTTTTATAACTAAGGAAAATTTATTTTTCCTACTTACTCATTATGAATTCTCAAGTAATGGTAGTTTTAGCTTTGTCCTGTGATAGTGACGGCATTCATAACATGGGACCCGTGTCTCTTGTTGCTACTGGGGACTCATTGTATTTAAAGGTCATGATAGCTATTATTCGAATTGTTGTGATTTCCTTCATGCACACTGGCCTCCTCCTCCTGTCCATTTGGTCAATGCTCCTTCTCCTCAATTTGAACATGATTAGGATGATGTTGATTTTGACAGGATATCTTCCCCAACAGTCACAGCTTTACCTGTGGAGAAAAATTCTCACCTTTCTTATTTCTTCCTTGACATGATTTCGCAAGTATGTTCTTTTCTTTCTCTTTCCCCCTTTTGATTCCTCCCATGCTTTACTAGATGAAACCCATACTCAAGGCTACTCTGTCTTCCCTCCTTCACCTGATATTAGGTTCCACGCAGCCTTGTTTCTCAAACACCTGCATACTCATACTAATATGCCTCCTCCTTCTTGTCTGCTTGACTCTTTTTTTTTCCTGTCTTATGGCCATTCTTCATTTCCGTTTCTTGATTCCCAGTCTTTGAAATCTCTTTTGCCTACTTGGAGGGGGTGCTTCCCTTAAATTTTATTTCTTTTTCTACTAACCAGGTTTCATACCCTCTTCTCTTTTTCAACACCCTCCTGTGCATTACCTCTTGTTACTTCTTTTTATGTCTGAGGCACTTCATTACCCTCAGGAGGGTTTTTTAGAGGTTTATTCTCTTTTTCTCACCACATTGGCCCATACTTTTTTTTGCTCCAACCCTCCTTACTTAGTTCCTCTGCTGTTGGTACAGGATGCTATAATAGCTAAAGCATCACCTCCTCCATGATAATGTTTGGGCTCCATTGGTCTAATGATATAATTCTGCCCATCCCTGCAACACTTTAGGCTCTTTTGGCTTTCTCTCTGTCTCCTTCCAGGCAAAGAATATACCCTGGTCTAGACAGGATACAGTTTCCCACAGTTGTGCTCCTATAGAGCAGAGCCCCTGCCACTGGTGTCACATTTCATGGGCTTTTCCTTTGGGTGCTTTTTAAAGGAAAACTATCTATGTTTACTGTTTGCAACAGCCCATCCATCATTTCATTGTGGGATCATAGCTATTCTGTGTGCAGAGCTGAGATATTGTCTCGATCATTAACATTTTCTTTACTTGAAAATGTATTTTCGATTAATACTCAATTGTGCACACCTTCTCGCCCATCTTCCCCACTTCTGATGCACTTTTTTCTTGCCTTGTCTAAGAATGAAGTTATTTCAGGTGAAATGCTTAGGGGGAGTTACTGAGCAAGGAGGTTGTGTCACTCTCCTATTGGTGTTAAACCTGTGATTTTTAGGTAAAAGTTAGCTCAAGTATAGTGGCACGTCAATCTTGTAGACAGATGTGTGAGGAACCAAGCTATTCTGTGTACAAAAGTGAGTATGTATCAAAAATATATGTTCAGGTAATGAAAATGTTAAGTTATAATGGACTTTCATAATCAGTGTGTTAACTGTTTTTTATTACTGAACAAAACTTATTTTATAAAACACTAGGTTAACACAATGGGAAAGTTACCTGTATCTCATAGTAGTTATGTTTTCTTGTAGCATTCCAGTTTCTGTAAAAATCTATTATTGAAGGTAATTATTTGTGATTGTTAAAAAAAAGAAGTTAATTTTTTGCATGTATTTATTTGTTTTCAAAGATAGTGATATTTAAAAAATGTTTTTATTTATTATATTTATTGCATCAATAATCTGATTTCTAGATGTAAAGACAGAAATGAGCAACGGTTGTGGAAATCAGTTCCCTGGTGATCGTGTTTTAACACAAGAAGATTTTCATACAGAAACCAGCAAGTCTCAAAAATCAAAAACTAGTGATGTGGTTGGAAAAAGTACTTCAAGAGAAAATATAGTAAAACATTATCAGAAACCACACAAATGTGTAGTGTGTAGCAAAGTATTTGGAAGAAGAAGTGACCTAAAAATACATGAGAGAATTCATACTGGGGAGAAACCATACATTTGTATAGTTTGTGGAAAAGAATTTGGAAGGAATAGTGAAATGAAAAAGCATGAGAGGATACACACTGGTGAGAAACCCTATAGTTGTGTAGTGTGTGAAAAAAAGTTTGTAAGAAGTGGTGATCTGAAAATACATGAGAGAATTCATACTGGGGAGAAACCATATAGATGTGAAATTTGTGGAAAAGAATTTGGAAAAAATAGTAACCTAAAAATACATCAGAGAATACACACTGGAGAGAAACCATACAGTTGTGTAGTGTGTGGTAAAGGATTTGGAATAATTGGTAACCTAAAAATACATCAGAGGATACACACAGGAGAGAAGCCATATAGCTGTGTAGTGTGTGGTAAAGAATTTGGAACAAATAGTGAAGTGAAAAAGCATGAAAGGATACACACTGGAGAGAAACCTTACAGTTGTGTAGTGTGTGGCAAAAAATTTGGAAGAAGTGGTGACTTAAAAATACATCACAGAGTTCATACTGGGGAGAAACCTTATTGTTGTGGAATCTGTGGAAAAGAATTTGGAATAAATAGTAACTTAAAAATACATGAAAAATCACACACTGGGGAGAAACCATACAGGTGTGTAGTGTGTGGCAAAGAATTTGGAAGAAGTTGTAGCCTGAAAATACATCAAAAGATACACACTGGTGAGAAACCATACATCTGTGTAGTGTGTGGCAAAGATTTCATAACAAACAGTGAACTGAAAAAACATGAGAGGATACACACTGGTGAGAAACCCTATAGTTGTGTAGTGTGTGGCAAAAAATTTGGAAGAAGTGGTGATCTGAAAATGCATCAGAGAGTCCATACTGGGGAGAAACCATTCACTTGTGAAACTTGTGGGAAAGAATTTGGAAATAATAGTCATCTAAAAATACACCAAAAATTGCATACTGGGGAGAAACCATACCGTTGTGAAGTGTGTGGCAAAGACTTTGGAACAAATAGTGAAGTGAAAAAACATGAGAGGATACACACTGGCGAGAAACCCTATAGTTGTGTAGTGTGTGGTAAAAAATTTGGAAGAAGTGGTGACCTAAAAATACATGAGAGAGTTCATACTGGAGAGAAACCATACAGTTGTGGAATCTGTGGGAAAGAATTTCGTATAAGTAGTAACCTAAAAATACATCAGAGAATACACACAGGGGAGAAACCGTATATCTGTTCATCATGTGGGAAAGATTTTGTGAGTAAAAGTGACCTAAAGAAACATGAGAGTATACATACTATGGAAAAACCATACAGTTGTGTAGTGTGTGGCAAGAAATTTCAAAGGAGTAGTAACTTAAAAGATCATGGAAGAATACACACTGGGGAAAAACCATACAGCTGTGTAATATGTGGCAAAGAATTTATAAGTAATAACAGTTTAAGAAAACATGTCTTAAGAACACATGAAAAGACGCACTAGGGAAGAGACTAGAGCTGTGAGTGTGGGACTAAAATATTTTGCAGTATGTTTTAAAACTTAGTATAAGTAGATTTATTGTAAGGAGAAACCTATATTTGTGTGGTGTGTTTGTGAAATTAGAAGTAATAGTCATGAGGGTTCAGAATAAAGACAAGCAATAGAAATGTAAACTATGTACACTTATAATGTCTGTTACAGATAATTTTCTCAAAAAACCTGAATAATAGTAGAGGAGACAACTATTCAAGGAAGGTGTAGTGGCCTGAAACATTGGTTGTTAGAATTTGTATGGGGTCTTGGACTTTGAGAAGTATTAATGTACAGAGTACGTGAAGTATGAAATTCAGACTTGTAATGGCTCTCAACATACAGTTGAGAAAAACTTGCGGATGTGTTTTTTTTTCAGCTCTGTTTTTTTACTTAAGAAAGAATAGTTGTACAGGTTTTACAAAAAATTAGGTTCACTCTTTGATGCTAACAGATCACTTATTCACAACATGTAAGGTTTACAGGATGCATCAGTTTTATTGTTCAACTTTTGTAGTTTTTAAAAGTAGTTTTTTCAATGTGTATTTCATTTTAATGTCTGAAATATAATTTGGATTATGAAGATAATTTTGAATGAGAAGTTGAAAGTTAATATATATATATATATGCACTGCCTTATTTTTACTCAATTTTTTGTCACACTCTACTACTTAGCATGAGAAAGTTACATTCGTCTATTTTCTATATTCTAATTTTTCATTCCGCTTTGTTAGATGACAAACCACCAAAAAACTATGTCACCTACATCGATGTTTTGTGTTGTTCTCATATGTATTTTGTAATTTATGGAAATAATGCAAGTCTGTGTATATCATTTTTTATAAATATGTTAACATTATACAAACATCAAAGTGATGATAACCTGCTAAACTTTTGTTATTGTTATTTTTTTTATAAAATGTTTCTTGCATATCTGACTTAATTCTACAAATAATTAGTTTAAGATTCTCAGTATAGAATAAAATTCAATGATTGCGTACATTTGTTATCAGTAATTATCTGTTTTCTGATAAGTTTCTAGTTTAAAAAAAAATTTTCTGAATCCTGACAATGTATAATTGACCTCAGTGATTTTCTTTGAGTCTGTAACGTATGATATTGGAAAAATAAAACCGATAATCTCATAAATGTAACATTACTGATAGTTGTCTGATTTAAATTCAATGTTATATTCCATCTTATTTTTACTGGAGAGAACTAACAAACTAAACTGCTGTTAGCTTTAGTTGAAGAATTCATGTAAGCAAACCAGCAATTTACTAGTTTCTGTAAATTTTTATTTATTTAAATTTGACTTTAGCTTAGCAGTCATTAAACAATCTTGGGTCTGTAATTGCTGAATATCTTCATCTCGATTAACAATCATAAAGTTTAGTTGTTATAGCATCATCACATTTTGAAGAGAGACACAGTGATATTTCATGAGTTCTCAGGTTTTTCAGTGATATATATCTAAGAGAGCCATGGTGAATTATTTGCAGACTTTTTGTTATCTCAAATTACTCTGTGGTTAAAGAGTTGCAGTATATGTATATCTCAACATGTCCATGTGTATAAAATAACAACACAGAAATTTGACATCTAGCATCATGTTACAATAGATTGCAACATCAGTTTCAACTCTGTTCAGTCCAACTCAAAATGAACAACTCAGGATAATGGAAGAACTGTTGATAGTTCACCTAGTCTATACCAAATCAACAATGTTTCACTACTAACACAACTCAAGATAACAAAAGATCTGCTTACAGTTCACCTAGTCTAGTCTAAACCAACAATGTTTCACTACTAACACAGCTCAGAATAACAGAATATCTGCTAATAGTTACCTAGCTTAGTCCAAACCGAAAACATGAAGCTACTAACACATGTACATCGTACTTATGCAAATGTATGGATTCTTAAGGGATGGATATTTTCTTATCTGATAATGAAGCATAAACATTCTCTCCACACTGTCATCACAATTAAATACGTATATGAAAAACAAGTACTGTCTTCAATCTTTCCGATCTACCTAATGAGGGAAAGGAAGATGCAGACTTATCTGACAGTCTTTGATAAACCAGATAAGGAGTTGCTGGGAATAAAAAGCAGCTACAAACTTTAAACATCAGATGAAACACCAACATTGGCTTCTCAGTTGAAATGAGTAGGATGGATTGATCATCAAAGTTATAACAGTCAGATAGTCAAAAGGGTGTCATGACCCTCGATCTCCAAACTATCAAGTAATATTGAAAGCATAGTTTATGCATTACATTGTAAAGTTAATGCTCAACCATCAAAGCTAGAACAGTCATATGCTTTTTGAGCCCCAAGTGGTAATGTGAAATGCCATGTTTGCACAATAGTGTATGGTTACTGCCTTGTTATTAACAGTTAGGACAGTCAGTGATCTTTATACACTCATGACTGAAAATAAGTGGTGTTCCTTGCTCTTCTAGCCATTGAATGATATTGAGATGTGATGTAAGTAGCACATTATAGAATTAACAATAGTTGGGCCGATTATGTGATAGGATTGGCATTAAGACTTCTTGTTTTTTGTGCACCACAGAGTGCATTACATGATGAGTGAATCTAGCTGCTTGTATTTTATTAAACCTATGAATTGAACACTGCATGATGGAAGGCCATTCTGATAAGAAACAATTTGCTCAAGACTATTTTTTCAAAGACCTTAATTACATCTTGAGCTTTCTGATAGAGCCCATGGATGAAGACATATTGCTGGCCAATACATATGATGTGCAGAACCTTGCTGTGTTGGTAATTCGGGCTTGCCCTGAATTCTTTATCAACCACAGATCAACAAATCAATGCCAAACTGACCTTGGACATACCAGCACTGGAGAAGCCAGGATATTCCATGTCAGTGACAGAACTGAGCCTTCAGGCAACTAAAATACTGAAGGTGCTTCCAACATCCATCCCAATTTCAGCAAAGGAGTCAAAGCAATTTCCCAGATATTGAAAACCACCCATCATGTGTCCTGTCAGCAGATGCCCAATCCCTTTGCACAAACATAATAAAATGTGCAGCCACTTATGACAGGACCACTAAATCTTGAAGCTTAGAAAAACATTCCTGGTGCTAAAGTTCTCTCGAGATCCAACTGAACTATGGAACAATTTTAGAGCCAAGCAAATGTGACCATCATGAAATGGCAGAAACTCTATTTGCCACTACTACTGGCTGAAAATTCAAAGCATACCATTCAGTAAAGTCCTAAGCCAACTGTGACATCATCATCATTGATCGGCAGGACATTTGAGATGAATGAGGGAGCTTCCACCTTAATAACAGATGAGCTATTGCCTTCCAAGACTACCTATGAACCTACCACCATTGCTGTAAAACTCACACTGTGACTGATCCAGATGATGAAGCAGTATTGCTAGAAAATGGCTTCAAAATGGACAGAGGCCTGGGCTTTCTGCAATTAAGAGGTGAACCAGTTGCACATGAGAAATGCACTACTTTTCCAGCTAGAAGAGGAGGTCTACCAGCTATGAATGGATGTGGTCTAAACCTAAAGAGCATAAGATAGATTCATCACATCATCCATGCCAATCCTGCTGCCATTCAATGTTCATCTACTGCTTTGAAGGGTCTGCTAATGGAGTTGAGGTGATGGGAGCTGGACCTCATTCTTGCCATCAGGTAACTATATTTTGAATACATATTCAATTTGAATGTAACTTTGGTATTCATGTAAAAGGGTTTATTTTGTGTAGGTGTTCTGATACGATACCTTGCTTCTGCTCATACAAAGCTTTCTCACTTGTACTGCCATTTATCGGTGCAAATTTTCACTCGCCACTAGCCTTGTTACTCCCACTTGTTATTCTATACTGACATGCAAATGATCATGCAGCAACCCTCCACCAATAAGAGTGCAACACTACCCCTATCGTAACTAGCATCCTCTATAATCATGCACATGTTAAGCACTTATCGATTAGCAGTCCTACTGATTAGACAAGTTTTTCAATCATGGTTTAATTAATCTATCCACAAGTTTTTACTTTTGTGAATTTCTCCTTCACTTAATTTGTTGTTTTTGTTCTGTATCTGGGAGAGTTATGATTTATTTTATTTCATTTCCTCTCTCAATTTCTGGACTTATGCACTTGCAGTTTTGGGTTAAGACTGCTCTTACTGTGGCAGCAGAATGCCCGACCACGTCTAACGAGTCGACACCACGATTCTTGGACCATGGAGTGACGGCTCTGGTCTGTCGGGAGTTGACCACTTTCATGCTACAATCAGAACAATGATGATTGACCTAATAAGATTTTCAGTGATCATTTACTCTTAGATTTGGACAGCCCTCCCCCCCACACACACCTCCTGAATATATCTCTAGGGTTCTTTATCGCATACTTGGATTACACTAGTGTTGCTTGACCAGGTATACAGTTTTAAATCTGTACTGTATGGCCTGTGAATATGCTAGATGACTGTGACATTGAGACTCTTCTTACCACAGACCTGATGTACTATTCCAGATGCAGACAGATATTGGTTGATTGACTCCATCGACGTGATCTCTGTGTTTTTCCAAATATATTATCATATCACATAACCAGGTCATATCATGCCCACCATTGAGATGGGGTATTCCATGAGACCACTAGTAGGTATACCTCATAGTTTTTTGCTTCATAAATATGTTCATCCCCAAACTGTACACTCATGGACTAACATGAGTAAAGCAGACAGGGATCACTACCCATCTCTGATGATCTGTGGCATTTGACACTCATCCTACCACGTACCTGATGTACAATTCTAGATGCCACCAGGTGTTGGATGATGCACTCTGTCAACGTAATCACTCTGCTTTTCAATATAGGGTATTGTGGTCACCCATTGCACTGTCTCCTGTGCTGTAGTCTTCTGGACTCTCCAATACACTATTTCTCTCCTCCTTCTAGTGGA